AAAAAATTTTTATTATAAAAAATTTGCTTGATTTCTATTAACTCACCCCCATATAGTGAAAATCTACCAATCTATTTAATAAGTAAAAATTCTCACATACTAATATAATAAGTTAGATTTTTTTTCTTTGGGTATTATATATAATGACACTATTAGAAACACTATATAAATTTTTAATTTCTTGAAGATTAAGAGCATGTCTAATCTTTCTTTACAAATTCTTAAAATACTATTATATAGTTTATTTTTTAATTAGTTTTCTAAAACCCAACTATTGTCTAAAAGTAATTTATAATTTTTTATTTATATTATTAACAGATGATAAAGTATAACCTTGAATCTCTGATTTCTCTAATATATTACTATTATTAAGTAATATTAAAAAATCAGAAAGCTGTTTAGGTGCTTGTTTAGGATTAACAAAATTGTACAGAAGAACAAATGAATTATGAAGTATAGCATAGTATAGTAAATGGCTTAGTATCTTTTTTTCTCATAAATTCAAAAAAAAAATACCTATTTTAAAAATATAAAAAAGAAAATATCTATTCAATAGTTAGGCTATCTTTTACAATACCAAAGGTACAAAAGAAAACATATTTTAAAAATATATTATATACTCTCATACACTTTTACAAAACAAATAAAAATATAAATCTTAATTAAAATAGTTTAGCCAAATACTTTAAAGAAAAAAGCTACCATATTCTTTGCTTAAACAAGTAACTGTGAACAAGCCTGTCTGAGCTTGTCAAACTAGTGTTAATTTAATAGTAATTTATTTTAAAACACAATAAAAAATCATATGTACATTATAATTTGTAATATCAATCTCTTTTTGCCTAGTGCAGTATAATGCAATCTAGCAAAGGATTCATAAAGATGAAATTATATACTTTATTTTCAAATATGTACTATATTATAACTACAATTATATTTTTACTATACATTGATACAACTTGAGTTAAACAAAACATGCTAACTAATAAAAAAAAATAAAGTTAAATACTTTTTCTTTGACTATTAATAATATAAAATATACAACTTTTTTTTTCTTTCTTCTCTTGCCTATTTTTTTTTATTATTATCTTTTTTTGATAAAGTGTATATATTATTTCTATAACAAATAGAGATACTTTAATTTTTTCAGATAATATATATAAGCCAGCTTCTATAATATATTCATATAGTTTACTTAAACTTTTACAAAGCATTTTCTATAAACAATAGAATAAATTTAATTTTGTATATACAAAAACTAATTGAAAAAATATCTTAAAAAAAATAAGAATATATATTTTAAATAAAAAGAGTTTCAGGATGCATTGATATATCTGCACTAAATTAACTTGACTTGTGAGTAATTCAGTTTGTATTACTTCTCTAAATAAGTATAATTCTCAATATGGTATAGTTATTTTATATACAATTGCATTGTAATCTACAATTATTTAAAAATCAATAACCAAAACAAAAAATATAATTATTATTGAATATACTATAATATAGAAAGTTGGCCTTGCAGGGTGTGGTGGCCTAGTAAAGCGGTCTAGTCATCACCTCACCAAGTGGCAGGTTTAGAGTTTGAATCTCACGGATGACATTTTTCGAAAAATAGATTTGTATTAGGTAACGATTATCTATCGATCAGTTGGATCTAGAAATTTGTAATCTTGGTTGCACCATCTAGAATGAGAGCTTCAGCACAGAAATGCCAAGAAACCAGGATGATCGTAACCTGTTTGGGAAGACTCAAGTAAAGAATAACTACAATCTTTGATAGTACTACAGGAAAGATCTGAATTTAGAAGTTAGGACCAAGATTGGAGAACCAAACAACAACAAGATCTTTTAGTAAGGGATTTACCAACCTGACTGCCAATTTAGAAAAGCTAGAAATCTGTGAGGCTATTATGAAGTACACTAACCCTGGCTAGCTAGTGTAAAAAACTGGCCCTACCCACCAAGACCAGGAGCTATAGAAGTTAGGTGGGAAATTAGTCAGACAGAAAAATGCTGGGTGTGTCTAGAGAACCAGCCAACCAAACTGGAGGAAAAGGACATGTGCTGGGAAATCATGTACCAAGATGAGACAAGGGCACCAAACACCTAATGCCAAACCAAGGTCGAATCTTTCGGGTCATCAGTTGGAAGTAAGGGATGGACTAATAAGGAAAAAGAAAGATCCGAATATAAGTATTGGGATTGGAAAGCAAACCTTATAAGGGCAAAAGCAGTTAAATAAGTAATAGCCCAACTGCAAGTGGGAGCCTTGGCAACTACGCAAAACCAGGTTGGCCCAAAATGGGATAGGGAAAGCTCTGGTAGGTTTACTTCGTAGATAGTTGTGCATCTGCTCAACAGAAAAATACAAGCCAGTAATTAGTCGGTGCAAACCCAAGATAGGTCACAAAAGTCCTAAGGCAGGGTGCAAAATCTAGAAGAATGGGCTAGATAGTAGTTCCTGAGTTAGTATGATAGGTTATAAATATAGTTAGAATTAGAAAATTTAAAAGGGTAACTCTCTAGTTGGGTTATAGGTATGACATCTAGTGTAGAACCTGCAGGCAGACTACTTAAATAGGCACCCAAAAGGTGCATGTGTGGCTAGTTGTATCTTTATTGTAACTGTAATAACTAATTATTACTAATAAAAAGTCCCTAGGCCAAGGAGGTTACCTTAATACCGAAAAAAAAAAAAAAGAAAGCTGGCCTTGCTAACTACACTACTTAACTTAACGTAAAGAGGGTAAAGATATATGTATACAAAAGGTAAAACTCAAATAAAACTCAAATAAAACTCAGATATCAAACCTTAATTTATTTAAAATATCTTAATAATTATACTTCTATAATACAAGCAATGAATATAATTAATAAGTATTATTTTCATACTATAGAAAATCTATTATATAGAAGCAATAAGTTTTGGTTTAACTTTATTAAATATTTTGAAGCTTATATAAAAAATAATTTACTTTCTTTTACTAGCTTTAATATTACTTCTATTCATAATACTAAGTATTAAAAATATATTAATAACTTACTTCATAAGCTAATATTATTATCAAGATCTGTTAATTATTTTTTTTAAAAATATTATAACAAAATATATACAAAGCTGAGTAACCTGTTATGGGATCTATTTGTACCAAAAAAGTTTTGGAATTTTTTCTATAATTGCAATCAATTTTAATACAATTAGTGATTATCACTAGAATAAAAATAACAAATCAAATTTATTATATTGCTTGGTTGTATTGAATGATTTTGAAGGTAGTAAGCTATATTTTTTTCAGCTCCAAATTATCTTATCACTTTGTTTAGAGTATGTTATTGCTTTTTCCTCATATTTCGTATAATAACTTCTTTATGATGAAAAATATTTAGTATAGTATTATTTACTTTGTCTACAATATCTTTTTATCACAAAAATTTCTTATATGTTTACAATGATCTTGAGATTAAAATAAAAAGAGATAAATTAATTATTTCTACAATCTCTCATTAGGATCTTAGTAATGCTTGAGATCTGAATAATGAAATTAGATTCAATAAACCAAGAGCTAATTAGATACAAATATCACTAGCATTATTCAATTATAGACAAAACTATATTAGTAAGTAATTTAAATAGTATTAGTATATAAGTTAAAAACAAATCTTAGCATCTGTACTAACTTTGCTAATCAAGTATTTTTTTAGACTTGAGACAAGTATAATAGAGTTTAAAAGCCAAGAATTCTTTTCTAGATAGATTGTAATTATATAGCAATAAATATATTAATAATTATTATGATTAAATAAAGATTTTATATAATATATGAGATTAGAAATTTTTTGTTAGCATGTTCTATGAAACTATATATATCATTTCTCTAAAATACTTCTATGCTAATCTCTAATTTATAGATTTAAAACACATAATATCATCCCTAAGACTATTATAATATAATGTAATTTCATGATTATAATATAATATAGTTATAATTAATTTTTTTTTTTACTTTGTGATATTGTATACTTTTATTTATATATATATCTTCTAATTTCAAACTAGACAAAAAAAGTGCTTAATTTAGAAGTATCAGAGTTAGTATCTAATTCTGATTCTATGATAAAATACTTGATTTTATTTTTCTTGTTTTTATTTTGCTATAAGTGAGAATTAGAAGAACTCAACTAATTATTGTATAGTGATAAAGCTTTGCTTCTATCAAATTTATATATAAGTATTACTATAGATTTTATTTTTCTTCTGGCAAGATTATTGATACAAAGAGTTGTTTTTATCCAACTATCCTCTATGTTAGTTACAATTTCTACTCTATATCTAGAGCTTTTCATTATTATATTTTCAACTTGTAAACCAATCAAACTCTAATATGATATAATTGAAAAATTTAAGATAATGTTTTATAATTAATATCTAAGTTAAAATTGTAATAGATATATATTATTTGCTAAATTAACTATATTTTATACTTGAAGTAAAAGTAAATAGAATCATAGTTTATTCAATCAGATATGTAATCATCTCTCTTAAAAATCTACTATCTTTATTTTCAGAACTTATTTATCTCATGATTTTTCCACCAACATGCTTGAGAATTTTATCACTATATATAGCTGGCCCCAAAAATCCTGGTTTGATATAGTAGTAGACTTTTTGATCTCTAAATTTAGCTTTGGCTATTTTTATAGTAAGTTATATTATGTATTATATATTTGATTAAAAAAATAACCAATAATTTACTAAATTTTTGCCACATCTATAAAGTATATAAATTGTATTTTTCAGATTCTGGTAAATCAAAAATATTTTGTTGCATTATTCTTAAGAATATATATTATATATCTTTAATTAAAAAACTAACTAAATTCAATTAATTAATTTAAATGCATTTTTAAATTTATATTTATAAAATAATTTAACCATTACAATAACTAAAGCTGATAATTTTGAGACAATGCAAAGTATTTGTAAAAAATTTAAAACAATGTTAAAGCAAAAGAGTGTAATTGATTCAGATTCAATATATCCAATTATCACTTATGAGGTTGCAAATAAATTGGGTTTTGAAAAAGATAAAAGTTTACCCAATATTATCAATAAAGTGGTATTTAATATTTTTAAGCAAGTATTAGATAAAAAAATTTGGATCTCTTTTTACTGATTACTAAAAATAGTAAAGCCCAAGATTTGGCAAGATATTATAAACACAATAACAAATCTAAATATTTCTAAAAAATGATACAAGATTGTCAGAAAAAACTAATTTTTAATAATACTACATCTAAGCTATCTGAATTCTCATCTTTATTTAGGTCTAGTTTTAAATTATTTAGTGATAAAGATTTTACTATAGATGTAGTAAAACTAAAGATGCATAATTAGTAATTATATAGATTTATAATATTTGATATCTCAGTATTTTTTTCTCTAGTTACTAGAACAATTGATCTACCTTTTATCACATTATAATAATCTAATATGATATTAATTACCTTGTATCTTAATACTAATTGATAAAGATATTTACAATAGGCATTATTCTTACTTTTATGAATTGTAATAGTATATTCAGAACTAATTTTTCTCAAATATAATAAGCTTATTTTATAAATTGCTAGAAAATTATTAATTGGATAAACATTTATATTACTATCTTTATCTCTTATTAAAAATACTGTAGAAATCTGTTAAGAATTGCTTTTTAGATTTAAATAAATAATTCTCTAGCTAGTAGTGAATTTTTTTCTATAGATACTAATAGTTTAGTTTTGTTTTTTTTTATTTTTGGTATATCTAGTACAGTAATAAGAATATTTAGAATTATATTATTTAGCAGTATCTGCTTTATAATACTTGATATAGAGGTTTCCCATATCTGCTAGTCTTATATATAATATTATTATTATATCAATTAAATTTTATATAAAGAGTAGTTTTGTTATATCATACTTATTAAGTCTTTCTTGAATATTTTCTAGATAAAAGAATTCAGAACAATTGAATCCCTTATCTTTATAGAGTTCCTGATTCATTGCTTGTTCTTTGAGTAATATTGAGTATATATATTGCTTCTAATATAAAATAATTAGTATCAAGATTGTATAATTTTTTATAGAGCAATTTAAAATACAATAATTGGGCTATTATTCTAGAAGCTATTTTAGCTAAGTTATATACTAGTGTATTTATTTCTTCAAGTTCAAGATTGTTTTTATTTTTCTTAATATATTGAGCAAGCTTTTTAATTAAATCTTACTTTGTAACTAGTAATACAAATTGAAAATCGAAAAATCGATTAGTTGTTAACTAATCGATAAATTGAATGAAAAATTTTGAAAAAAACAACTAATCGATTAAAAACTTTTGCCAATTTATAATAAAATAATCGACTAAAATCGATAAATTGATTAGTTGACAACTAATCAATTAAAAATTTTTGAATTAGTCAACTAATCGATTAGAAAATTTTTGACGATTTGGAA